CAGTGGGCCGGTGAGCTGTTATCGGCCACGGCTACGTAGTGCGGGTGTCCGGCACAGCTCTGGTCCATTCGCGACAGGAAGCTCTCATCGGAGCCCTGTCCAAGCTTCAGGCACTCGTCGTCTAACAGTGATAAAATGCCGTGATTGTTCTGTAACATACAGACAGCATGTTAATGCTCTCGTCAATATCGTCATTGACCCTCTCAGGATAATTTCACAGCAAATCAATGGTCAAGTGCCAATATAACATCCCCATCTCTTAAGATTTGTAAAAAAAGAAAACACACACAAATTGCATGAGATAACTTGAGACCAACAGCATCTGACAATCTCATCTCGACGAGAGCAAACGTTTAGAAGGTATAGCCCCAGCGCCTTGAACGTCACGTAGCATGGACGTCCGTAGGTGAGCAGTGTGCACGATGCACACCATGGGCAAAAAGGTTAATTGCACGAAGTTACGCCGTTTCTACGTGTGGTAACAATGATTAATGAAATGCAAGTAATGCTTTCCGGCACTAATCCATAAGTCCAACGTCATTTTGTCAGAGTTGACTTGAGTTTACGTGCTCTGTGGTGACCCTTGTCTTTTGAAATCCTTCGTAACCGAAAAAAATCGACCATCTGAAGCTGAAGGTGTGTCACGCTACTCGACGACCATTGACTACCGAAACATTATCGTGGTTATAAACTATAAGCGCTACCTAACCGAGGTAGTTTTATGCATTTAAGCACATAAGGACATGCAGACTGGTCATGCGCTGTTTGATGACAATAAATGTATATATATATATATATATATATATATATATATAGCGTATATATATATATATATATATATATATATATATATATATATATATATATATATATATATATATAGCGTGATTGAAATGAAGTTGGTACACAAGGATATTTGTCATATGAATATCACACTCTTGATATATGGATATAATTTAAAGGGAGTGTTTCACATTTGTATGAGGCTTTGAACTGAAATAGCCGTCTTGGAGAGCGTTTATTGCAGTTCACAGCTCTAACTCTATATTCTGAGCTATACGCCCGCGAAGATGTGCAGACTTTTTCGGTGATCAGACCACTTCAAGGTCACCCAGATATCTCTGACGCCACAATACCGTCATTCAAATCTTGACATTCCATTAACCATGTGACGATAAGGCCAATATAAATATAATTGTCGAGGCTTTATGCAATTAAACAAGTATAATTGCCATCAATCAGCTCTCAATTAATGTTGTACAAGATGCGATGAAGCAATCAACCACTTACGCGTTGAGCACACACACCAAACAGAGGAATTACATCACATATGATGCTTACTTCGGTATATTCAAGTGTAGAACATTCTCTTTAAGAGGCTAAACGAGGTCAAACCTTATCTCCTTGAATCTAAGCCACCCGTCTGCGGTGCAGATGAATAACTGAACAATTTCATAATCAAGAGACTGAAACTTTTGAAGCGTGGTTCAGACGGAGCTAAATTTTCTCCAACCGGCCTTGCAGTTACCGGTAACACCGTAACAAGATTTGCGTCAAATGTTGCGTGATGACGTCAAACACCGGTCGATCTGTCGCGGAATTCGCTGTTTGAACAGGAACAAAATGCAAGAGACAGCGGGATTGTTCATCAAAATATTGCACACGGACATGAGTCTAATAAAAAAGCGACAGAACCGTAATGAGGCCATGCATTTGATGTAAAAAGGAAAACTCAGCCATGGTATCTTTGACAAAACAATCACACGTTCCGAAACAAAAGAAATAAACAACAACAAAAAAGCAGCCTGACTGAAGAAGTCAGGGGATCCATTATATGAACTTATTACATCACAGCCCAGGACCTTACGGCAAAATCGGGAATCAAACAAGCGCTTAACAGGAGGCAACCGGATCATACCAGGATAATTTGTAACATTTGAGTCTTCAGATGCGTATTTATTAGTTCTAAATTGTTTAGTAACTGCTTACGAAGAGTAAATATGCTTACGAAGAGTGAATATGCTTACGAAGAGTGAATAAAAAAGCCACTTCACGAAGAACAGTATGCTTGAGAAAAATAAAGCAAAGTATATTATCGAAGCATCAAAACCCAGCCGTTGTACATTCGCTAAAAAAACAAACAGGGTCAGATGGGGAAGTCGCTGCTTCTTTCCTTCCAGTCACACTGTCATGCAACGTACCTTCTCGATAAGATCACAGATAACAGCGTTATTGAAGTACTCCACCGGAGTCCACTCTATGCCTTCCCTCACGTACTCCTCTTGTTCCTCTTTCAACACCAATTGTATAAATATCTGCTGCAACTTTTCGTTGCAGAAGTTGATAACAAGCTGCTCGAACCCGTTGTGTTCAAATACTTCGAAGCCGTAGATGTCCAGAACACCCAGCACTTTTCTCTTCGCATGTTTCTTTGGCTGCAACAGCGAATGATGCGTACGTTGGGTGCGCCGGCAGAGTCATAGGGAGGGGGGGGGGGGGAGGGAAAGCTGCCGGGTCGGCGCCCCACCACTGGACAGACTAACGGCAAACTTCTACGGCAAGATGCTGTATGGAAAGAAACGAACCAAATTTACCGCCCCCCCCCCCCCCCCCACCTCAGCATAGGGCGGCAGCATGTGCCCATCCTGCCGATGGGCCTATACTTACGCCTTCATAGACCCATCCCACAGACGCACAGATGACGGCGTCTAAGCACTTGACAGCACGGCTGACAGACCACGCCGCGTACGAAGCACATCACGTCTAATTACCTCAGCAGCATCACGTCACCCCTTCCGACTGTTCTACGCATCGACAGGTGCACACACCATCAGACGTGCTACTCCAGCGTGGCTCGCTGGCGATGGTGAGCATCCCACCTTGATTGTCTCGTTGATCCGCACGATGATCCAAGCGAAGAGACGCGAGTAGAGGGCGCGTGCGAGCGCGTCGCGCGCGCCGGCCGCCTCGGCGGCGCTCAGCTCTACCAGCACGGCCTCGGCGCGCGGCTCCAGGCAGCGCGTCGTCAGCGGGGCCTGCAGCGCCGCCGGCTCCGCGTGCAGCAGCTCGCACACGTCTTGCAGGTCTGCCAAACACCAGGCGTGCGCGCTCAGGGACGGCACTGTTCGTGCCCGTCAGCGGCGGCGCGCACGGCCTCCAGCGGGCTTGTGTGACCTGTTGCCTCCTGCCTCCCGGGAGCGATGTGTGTTGTGGAGACGTGCAAAGCATGCTGCATACGAGCGATGTCAGGAAGCTGTTTTGTAGTGAGATAACATTTTCTAAGGTTACCACTGACCTGGGTTTTTGAATGAAAATGGAGTATCGAAACAGCTAGGCATCCGATCAAAACCTGCTAGTCCGGTGCCGTTCGCTGTTTCGCTGCAGAGTCATAACTCGAGTACGTGTTGTTTGCACACTACACGGTTGTCCAATCTAGACTGCGGGTGTCATCCCGCTAGTTGCCTGGCAACGAGGCACCCCTCGGTTCATCGCAGGCACCGGCATGGCCTTGAACGCCTGTCAAGGCAAGGCCAATATGTAGGCCGAGTACCAACAGCAACATAGCAGAGCCCCATGGCCTCTTTTCCGGCACGGGCCGATCCTCGTCCATCGGCGTCGGCCGTCAGTGCTTCCTGCTGTTGACTGCCACTGTTTCCGCAGGGCGCCAGTGATGTATGAACTTGGCGGCGCCTCCGCTGTTCACACTCCCACCGTCGGCACCTCGGGCCGCGCGCGAGGCTTCCAAGGCGCCGGCCATTGGGCTCGCTTGTGCTGGCGCCGGTGGTCCCTGATCAACTATGTGAGTAAGCGATGCACCAGAATACACAGTGTGGTAGGGGCGTCAGCACTTGATGGCATTTCGAGGACCATTGCTAAAAAGTCGGTATGCGTGCCTTGATTTAGGGGCTGGCTGCCGCAGCTTATGGTGAATAATTCCTTGTGTGCGAAATAAGCTGTCCAGCTCCCATCTCAGTTATTGACCGATATCCACTTGCTGGACAAGGGCTGATACTCAGCTCCCGGCCATTGCTGGATCACTTAGCTGGACACCAAAAGTCCAAGCCAGTGATCGGGACTTAACAGTCAGGGGTCGTTCACCGATGAGATCCCGCATACCGTCAGAAGCCTTACTGAGAATGGTTGTGCACCACTGGTGCTGATCATTAAGTCATTTGCAGCACAGCCTAACCAAAGGGCTTCATTGCAAAGAGGATCGAAGGGACACTAATAAGGCTCAAGCTAAGACGCACAACAGACGTCGGAATATTCTTCCTGAGAACAAAACCGTGGCCGAGTGAGAACTGCTCGGGCTGAAACCTCGGAGGCGTCACGTCCTGCAGCGGGCAGCGGTTAGGTCGGCACCGGTGGGCTGAGCCCCTGTCGGTGCCGTGCCCTGCAGTGGACGACAGTTAGGCCAGCCCCGCTGGGCTGAGGCCCTGTCGGTGGCGTGCCCTGCAGCGGGCGGCGGTTAGCCCGGCACCGCTGGGCTGAGGCCCTGTCGGCGCCGTGCTCTGCAGCGGGCGGCGGTTAGCCCGGCACCGGTGGGGTGAGGCCCTATCGCTGCCGTGCCATGCAGCGGGCGGCGGTTAGGCCGGCCCCGCTGGGCTGAGGCCCTGTCGGTGCCGTGCTCTGCAGCGGGCGGCGGTTAGGCCAGCCCCGCTGAGCTGAGGCCCTGTCGGTGCCGTGCTCTGCAGCGGGCGGCGCAGCGACTACGCCAGCCGACGGACACATTCTTGGCACGGCGGCGCGACACCTCAACGTTTCGGCCCGTCGCGCGGTCTGCCCCCCCCCCCTTCCCCCCCCCCCCCCCGCCTCCGCTCACCGCCGCCCGCCGTAGGTGCCGCGACGCGACACCTCATCGACAGGAGAAGAAAGCGATTCCGCAGGTCGCAGTACACCACAGGCACAGCGCAGTCTGATGCCGGGCAGATCAAGATGGGTCAGGACCCAAGGTCACCTGGTTTGTGGCATTGAATCCACTAGTTGTTTGCCTTACAGATGTTAGTAGGAATTTAGGTTCTGCTTTTAGTTTTGGCCCACACAGATGCGCGTCGCAGCTTAAACCCTGTAACGGCGTAATAACATGTCTTGCTCATGCAATGAAAAGCAAAGCTTCATTCAACGAAGATAAATAGCTCCATCATACGGAGGTATAGAACACAAGCTTGACAGATGCTTCTTACTGGCTTCTGGGACAGGAAAACAAAAAGCCCATCATAAAACAAATTCAAAACAGCTCAGGCAACGTAGCTGATGGCAACAACGAGCTCCGCAGAGCTCGAAAGCCGAGTGTGTACGTGTTCAAGCGTCTTAATAAATCAATGACATGCGAACGATGCATCGGTGGTGGTAGCCGTCGCTATAACCGAGTTAAACATGGAGAGATGGGGCACCAGTGATCAATATCACCCGATGAACACCCGTGAAACATATTTATCTAAGCCTTGTGTGGACCACTGAGGCCCTAAATGAGCGACGAGAGGGAAGTAAGAAATGTTACAAAGAATTTACAGGATACGATCAAGGCGGAGTGTCCGTACAGCAGAGAGGCAAGGAAGCGGAATAAATAGCCTGCTGGCGGCTGGGCCACAGCGGCGGACGGGAAGAGAGGGAGGGGGAGGGGGGAGGGGGGAGCGGCATCCATGAGTGACGCGTCCCGTGAAGACCGCCACTGCATGCTGCATGACTGGTGAGGACGAAATGCAATTGACCTCAGTGGGGCACGCCCCGTAATAACGGCCACTACGTGCTGAATGCCAGCAGACAGTGTCACATGACGTCACAGTGAAACGTCAGGTGTAGACGACCATTCGGCATCGAGTAACAAAAGACAGAGCGCTGGTGACGTCAGTGTAACACGATTTGTGGTGACGATCGTTTGGTGCTGATTGTTAGAGAGGAGGAAACTGGTGCTGAGTAGAGGACGGCTGAGTACCGGTGACGTCAGAGGGACCCGTTCTGTACTGGCGGTCTCTGCGCGTTGGGTCATAAGCACAGAGTGTTGTGAGCAATGCTCGTGGAATGCCCCCTGTAGTGTCGGCCATTGGATGCCGCTTGATAGCGGACAGAGTCCTGATAACGTCGGCAGCATATTCCCTGTGGTGACGACGCTGGGTGTTAAGCGGCGCAGGACCGAGCTCCGCTGACGCCCGTGGGATGCCCCCTACGGCGACGGTAGATGGGTTCTGAGCGGCCAAAGACGGAGTGCCAGTGACGTCAGTGGGACGCCTCCCGCGGTGGTGGTCGCTGGGTGTTGAGTGACGGAAGACGGAGTGCTGGTGACGTCAGAGGGACGGAGGCGGCGGTGACAGACGGGAGCCACCGTCCTGGGTGGGCGTCGCGGGCGTCGCCGGCGAGACGAGGACGGGAGAGAGGAGAGCGCAGGGGGGGGGGGGGGGGTGCAGCGGCACGTGACTCAGAGGCCGCGGGCGGCTGCCAGCCGGACGTCGCGGCTGGCCGAGTCATCGCCGACCCAGGCCGGAGGGCGCGGAAGGGACGGTGACGCCGAAGGCAGCCGGCCAAGGACCGACGGTCAGGACTGGCCGCCCATGGGACACGGGTACAGCCGGTCAGGGACAGGCCGCTGCCGGTCCCCAGATGAAGATCGTCAGGAACAGGCCGCTGTCAGCTCTCCGGCTGAGGCCGTTCAGTGTCATATCACTACCAGCTCTCCGGCTGAAGTCGATCAGTGTCAGACCACTACCAGCTCTCCGGCTGAAGCCGGTCAGTGCCAGACCACTACCAGCTCTCCGGCTGAAGCCGGTCAGTGTCAGACCACCACCAGCTCTCCGGCTGAAGCCGGTCGGCGTCAGACCGCTGTCAGCTTTCCGGCTGAAGCCGGTGGGCAGGAACAGACCGCTGCCAGCTCTACGGCTGAAGCCGGTGGGCAGGAACAGACCACTACCAGCTCTCCGGCTGGAGCCAGTGGGCAGGAACAGATCACTGTCAGCTCTACGGCTGAAGCCGGTCAGCGTCAGACCGCTGTCAGCTCTCCGGCTGGAGCCGGTCAGTGTCAGACCACTACCAGCTCTCCGGCTGGAGCCGGCCCGGAACAGACCGCTGTCAGCTCTCCGGCTGAAGTCCATCAGTGTCAGACTTCTGCCAGCTCTCCGGCTGGAGCCGGTCCGGAACAGACCATTACCAGCCATTCAGCCGCAGACGACCAGTGGCGATCACCGGCTGAGGCGCGGCCCATCCGCTTACGGACGCCTTTACCTATGCAGGCGCTATTTGCGCAGTTCGCTCCGGCGCCTCAGCCGTACGGAAATGAGGGGCGTCACTAAGAGACGTAATTGCGAGCTGACCGTGCAGCCGCCAGCGTAAACAAACCCGCCGGAGCGCCGACAAGTCCACTACAAACGAGGGCGGGCAATAACCGTGCATCTCTGATGTTTGTAGGAAACTAAGAAGGGATTATTGCGATTCCTCTCCAACGTGGTGGCTTCAAATTTAGTTTCTTTCGCTTTCAAATTTAGCTTGTAGCTATCAGACATCTAGGCTGTGTCGGTCACTGTTCCGAGATTTTTTGAAAAGTCTTTCGACATCGAACAGGTTCCCGCTGGTCACTGTCTGACATGGAGACTGCAAACCAATGTGTGTCTTGCTAGATCGGACGGCTCGACAATAGCACAGAAGCCCACAACCCAAATGCGCCTGATTTGACGCTAAACCACGATGACGTCATCTAAAACTTAATTTCATTCGGAAATGGACCACTTTACGTTGCTGCGTATCTTTGGCTACTACGACGTAGGTGAACTGTGATTTGTGTTCTTGTGCTGAGTGAAGCCCTGCCCGTGCATGTGGTCTGTGCTGCCTGCGTTGATGCCGCATCAGTCCCCACACCACCGGCCGGACTGCCCGCCTGTCGTGTGGGCGGTGCGCGGCCGTGGACGCGAGCCCATGCCTGCCTCGCCCGAGGTACGGGCGCCGAATACCGGGCGCGTCAGACGCTGCCCGGGCGGCCGGCCGCGCTCGCCGGGCGCGGCCGCTGTACCTGCGTAGGTGGCGGCCGTCTGCAGGATCGGTGAGCAGGCGGTGCTGCCGCGCGACACGCAGTCGTACGGCCCGGCCGGCATCAAACGCTGCGTCAGTGCCGCCTTCAGCGCCTCAAAGCTAACCAGCAACAGATCCCCCGTGCCCAACACCTCTGCGAACAGCCGGCGTGTGCGATCAGGCGCGCGGAGCGGACGGGGCCGGCCGGGCGGCGCCGGGGAGGTCCCGCGGCACGGCACGGCACGGCACAGCATGGCACGCGCCTTACGAGCATTCGGTACGTCACGGAACAGCGCGGGCTCTACTACATCAGGGCCGCGTGTTAACACCGAACAGGCAAACTTCGGGGCACGCATGCGACAATATTTACGTTTGATCAATGCAGCTGACCTACGACAACAGTATACGGCAGACCTGAGGCGGCATAATGCATGATTAACAGGACGGTTGAGCGCCTCATTGTATGTTCATCACAAAAAAGCAGCGACAAAAATGATTAATGTGCCATGCAGACGATACATTTGCATTTTCGGCGATGCGGACAGCTAAATTACGTCAAGCACAATGAACAGCCATCAATTCAGAACACATACCAGATCACGAAGCAAACTGCAGTGTAAAAACAGCCATGCGCGGCGCGCGTAAGCGGGCAGGCGGGCGCGAAGCGTCGCTGACCGGGGTTTTGTTCCCTCGAGCCTGCACTCATGCTCAAAAGAATGCCAACGTAATGAATAGTGTCTTGATGGTGGAGTGTTGTCGGAAGATCTTGAAATCCTGTAGGTGTTCTGCCGCGGCAAATCAGGTGTTCTTTGGGGTCTTTCTGGGTGCGCGCGCCTCACAGATGTTTAGAGCTGGGCAAGGTTTAAGGCCGGTGTTTTAAACAGAGGTAAGGACATGTCCGAACCTGCTGCCAAGAAAGGTTCCACACTGTACTGATCGCAAGGAAGACCTCTCGATCACACGGTCTCTGTATGACATTGACTGGCACCGCTGTCCACGGCCGCAGCAGCCGAGTGATGGTTTACGGGCGGTCGGGCGGCGGCGGTGCAGGCGTCAGCTCTGCCGGCAGCGTGGCGCCGGGCGGCGGCGGTGCAGGCGTCAGCTCTGCTGGCGACGTGGCGGCCGGGCGGCGGCCATCCTGCAGTCACTCACCGTACTCGTTGTCCACCACGCAGCCCTCCGAGCCGTCGATGTTGTTGACGGGTGAGAAGGTGACGTTGCCCAGCTTCAGAACGGATGCGATCACGCGCAGAATGCCCTGCTGCTCATCGACGGTCAGGCCGAGAATGTCCATCGCGCGCTGCCGGCAGCAGCGTCACACCAGTCCGTCAGGTAAACACGGCAACATCACATCGGTCCGTCAGGTAAATACGATAGCATCACACCGGTTCATCAGGTCAACACGACGGCATCACACCGGTCCGTCAGGTAAACGCTACGGCATAACACTGGTCATTCAGGTATGGCGGCACTACACCGGTCCGTCAGGTAAACACGGCGGCATCACACCTGTCCATCAGGTAGACACCGCAACACTGCATCGGTGCACTACTTCTGGCAACGGCAACGGATCGTCTCATGTACACCAGTGGTCAGCCCATCAGGTCTACATCACGCCATCACAGCCGTCTATCAGTGATATGCGATCAAAGGCAGCGGCAAATAAATACCCGCGTGACTTGAAAGTCCCTCTTGTCATCCAAGGAGTCATACTGAAGAGGCCTGCCCTGCTTCAAAATCTCGTAGTTCTCCACATTGCGTTGCAGCTTCAACGATTCTGCAGGACAAGAAAGAGCACAGGGAATGTGAATATCTAAAATTATAGTTGTAAAAGTGCAGTGTTCACTAACCATTTCGCGTATTTATTCAGGAACATTAGTCCTCAAAGTTGATGTATGAGTCACTAAGCGATATCTCTTTCCTATCCATGCACGAAGGCAACAATGCACCGCGCATTCAGACCTCATCTTCAGCAAACTTTATCCAACATGCACACCAGAGCGTGAGACGGAGCCAGCATAACATCGCCGCTGTGTACACGTTTCGTGCGGTGATGACGGTGTCTGACGCATGCTTGGCGTCATCGCTGCTGACGCGCCGGTGCGGCGGCGGAGACACAGGCCGCCCCCGCTTACTGAGCAGCTGGATGTCGGCTCCGGTCAGCAGCTGGTAGAAGATGTGAAAGTTTCGCTCGCCCGGCTGCTGCGCCGTCACGCGGCTCTTCTCCAGCAGATCTGGCAGCAGAGATATGGCAGCAGTCAGCGCCGGTCCGATTCGAGGTGGGGCTCCTGAGCTTCTGGCGCAGGCCCCGGGCGGACCAGACGCAGTGCCGCACGGACTCGTCACGACAGGTCGGCGGGCCAACAAGCAGACCGCGCAGTAGTGGGCATCACGAACATACGTAGTCGCTGACACGGACGCACAAATGTTCTTGATCCAAGCAGGGCGCGGTGTGGGCCGCATGAGTCGCGCAGTCGGCATACATCGTGCTGGTAACACATGAAATATTGGCTCAGCGCTGGCAGGCACTCGTGATTGGTTTAACACCTTTGTATACGTCACCTGCTGCTGGCGTAAAGTACACATCCTTCTGACTGGACGCTGAATAGATGAGCGAGGTAGGCATCACGGCACGTTCCTTTACATACCAACCCAAAGGTTTATTTTTGAACGCAGGATGTGAGTTTTGAAAGTGGAGTTCTAAATAAACTTCTGAGGCTGTCGACGTAAGCAAATGAAAGGAGAACACGCTCCCAGGAACCACGGCAGGAAGGCAAACTGACGATGATGTAACGCGGTCTGACAATCGTTCTTACGGTGCTAGCACCTTTGGTGGGCACCAGCTATCACGTGTTATCTGAATAGTCTTTGACCCAATGCAAATAAATGTCACATACAATAACCATTGATCTGCCGGACTGTCTAAAGCGGCCGGTACACAGGCAATACGCATGAAATCGCTCTGCTTTGAAACAAAGCGATTTGTAGCGGTTGATGAAAAAGTCGCCAGCACGCAGTTACAGCGATACTCACAGTTCGTGATAAGGCCACCGATCGGGTCCCCCTTGAAGTCGAACTCCAGATCCATGTATTTGCCCTGGCATAGAGACCATGAATCAGCGGGATGGCTTCAGCAAGCCACAGAGCACTACCATCAGAACTCATGCAGCCGAGGTGATTCTTTTTTTGCTCGAACGAAATGGAGGGTCTGAATAAGCGTTGTCGGGCGCACGACATGCCAGCGGGCAGCTTTAGAAGTGGCGGGTGCGCCACCGTTGTCATGGCGACGAGCCGCGGGGTTTTTGCCTCGTCTTTCCCAGGCGATAGATGTGTCTGATGCAACGCAGGTCGGTTGTCTGACTGCAGAATTGCAGCAGATACCTCCCGCTCTTGATGGCCTAATGGTGTGAAAGTTGTCAGCTCGTTTTTCGGCCCCGCCAGGAAAAAGTGTGCGAGTGTGGGGAGGGAAAAGGAGAGAGACTGAACGACCAAATGATAGATGAATCCTTAAATTCCTGAGCCTTAAACGCGCTAGGCGGCCGCTCACGGATCCTCAAGATTTATCGCAGAAAATCCTTGTATCTGTGAGAGGAAGAGAGCCGTAGTCGACCACATTTTCCTTAGGAGCATCCATGTCTTATATCAGAATACATATACAGCATTTACAGTCATCGCTTAGATGCCGCACGAAACGCTTTGAGGAGTGAACATTTGTTGGATATGTCAAGGAATCAACACGAAGATACGGCATGCTTAATGTGCATGGAACGTTGGCTTAGTCACCTTGCAGACACTTTTAAACTGCAATGCTTCTTCAGATACTCATCATCAGATATTTACCAATGCTCAAAAGTCCACCCACTTACAAAATACACATGAGCGGCATCTATTCAGATCTGCATCGATCTGCACATTGACTTTCGACTGAAGTGAAAACAAATAAATAACATTGGTCCAAATAACTGAACTGTTAACCAGGCCCACGTAGGAGCTAAGTGATTGCTGTTTCTCGTTTACACAGACTAATCAAATACATCTGTGTTGCCTTCTACGGATATAGAAAAGTACCGACAAAATCAAGCTCTCAATCCGTGGGCATCTCTGGAAAATCTAGAAGCAAGCAACCTATTATTGTAAGCACTAGACACAGAAACAGCCCTGGCAGGGGACGTCATTTACACCCAGATATCACAGAGGACAAAACAAGAGGCGAACTGTGTTGTACACGACTCCAGCAGTCAAACTCTCAAGCTGCGTATACCTGTCAGCGTCATATTCATCAATGTCAAGCATTCACGATGGTCGGGAAGGCCACTGACCGGACAAAGCATGCTCATGATGCCCGGGAAGGCCACTGACCGGACAGAGCGTGCTCGCAATGGTCGGAAAGTCACTGATCGGACAGAGCATACTCACAATGGTCGGGAAGACCACTGATCGGACAGAGCGTGCTCACCATGGTCGGGAAGACCACTGACTGGATAGAGCATGCTCACAATGGCCAGGAAGGCCACTGAGCGGACAGAGCATGCTCACCATGGCCGGGAAAGCCACTGACTGGATAGAGCACGCTCACAATGGTGAGGAAGGCCACTGAGCGGACAGAGTACTCACAAAGCGAGACGAGTTGTCGTTGCGATGCGTCTTGGCGTTCCCAAATGCTGCAATGAAGATCAATGTGAGCCGGCGGGTAGCGAATGGCCGCCCATTCGTGGAGATCAGGGATCGGTCAGGAGTGTGCGACTGGCCTGACCTCTGCTAAGAGTGTGTGGCTCGCCTGAGCTCTGACGAGAGTGTGTGGTGTGAGTGAGTGTGGGGCTGAGGCGAGCTGGAAGGAGGATGGCTGGTCTCAGCTCCGCTGAGAGTGTGTGGTTGGTCAGAGCTCAGCTGAGAGTGTGTGGCTGGTCTGAGCTCTGTTGAGGGTGTTTGGCTGTCATGAGCTCTGCCCTGAGAGTGTACCTGGCCTGAGCGCTGAGAGTGTGCGGCTGACCTGGGCTCATTACAGGTTATTCCACCCGTCTGAACTGGGTCGGGGGTGGAGAAGTGGGGGTGGGGTGCGTTGGGGGTTGGGGGTTGGTGAGCGACCTGGACTGGACTTACAATTAAGCTTTGCCTCCCATAAATTGAATCGTTGTGTGACTGCAACGCACATACCGGAAGCGTGCGTAAGTTACTCACTGAAAGCAAAATCTAAGTATTCATGTCACACGTCGTCCTGCGAAACCCCACTGACAGTCTTTCTCGTGATAGCGTGCCGGAGGGCATTTGCGCGGTGCACGTGACCTCCAAGAGCGGATGTAGGCCGGGGCCCACGGGCCGTGTCACAGTGCCTCCCCTCCCCTGTCCGCGGATGATGAATGTCGGGTCAAAATGACACATTGTTAGACATTGAAGAACATCTGAAACTTCTGAGAAACGTAGTTTGCCTTAAATTTTAATCGCAACGTCTTTTTGAACGTTGACGTTTCAAACCACGTTTTTTCATCCCTCAATGACAGCATTCTGAATTCACTTTCATTTGTATTGCTTGAAGTTGAGTCTCTATTTTATATCGGCAGGTATCATGTTTTGCAAATATCATACGATCAGTGGAATTACCCATTCATTTTACCACCTTACCGTCTCGTCACTGTACGGCGTCCACCTCTCCCACACACGATCGACGCAAGTTCGCTTATAGCCATGAGACACTGGAGAAAAGACAGCTCACATCCCTTTCTTTTAAAATGTGTACATACTCAAAGCCAACATACAAAGCTGTTGTCTCGACACGACTCCGCGCTGGCGTCATTCAAACACCATCCAGGTCTGCCGAGAGCATCGCTGCCGACGGAGGCGCTATCTCACGGATGCGCCACCGAGGCCACGCCGGGCAGCGCTAGCGGGCGACCGTACCGCAGCACGGCCGTGTATTGCGGTACAGTCTAACACGGTCGCCAGCTGGCCGGCAGAGGAAAACCCAGCTCGTCCTGCCCCTGGCGCCTTATTCAACGGATCCGACGATATGACCAGTGAATGACTCGACAGGGAAGCCACAAGTATATGGACACGAGATCCAACAAACCGTGCGGTCCTGTCCCAGTACATACGTGCAGGAGCATGGACCAGTCCGGTAAGGTGGATGCTTGGTCCTTATTTCGTGGATATAAAGTACTCAGCCTACTGAGCCCAAATGGTGCACAAAGGATCTCCTCCCCGAACACACACGCACACACACACACACACACACACACACACACACACACACACACACACACACACACACACACACACACACACACACACACACACACACACACACACACACACACACACACACACACACACACACACACACACACACACACACACACACACACACACACACACACACACACACACACACATACACTTTTGGAGCTACAATCTTTAAAACAATCTCACACGTCTGATAAAACACGGTATTGCACTGCTATCACAGGCCTGGCCGGGGGGGGGGGAGGGGGTACCCAGACACCAATTTAAACGTTAAGAAATCCAAGGATTAAACGTTAGCAATTACGTCCTTTTCCAAAATGGCACTGCCCAGGGCTGGAAGACCGTAGTTGGGTTAAAAAGCCCTTTACTGGATTGTGGGCCTCTAATTCACATCATAGCTCGTGATCATTCCACCTTCGGTAAGACATATTGGCGTGACAGAGAGTTTATTTACCTGCGCAGCGATGCACAGGTGTTCCACCTCTCCCTGAACTTACTCATAAGACGCAATAACCGCTCCACATATACTCGAGCCCGAAACATGCGGGCGATTTCAAATAAGTTTTTGTCTAAATTTACCTAAAGTCTGGATGCTCGGCAGCAAATAACAAACCAAACCACACTTAAAAGAAATCAGGCTGCCTTTCATGGATGTCGTCCTGTCTACTATCACCTCTACCTTTCACTTTATCTACTATAAACGCGTCTGCTCAGCAGGTCCATACTGAAAAACGTGATCAAGTATAAGTGGTCTGAAATTGATTATTGTGATGTGGTCCCATTACCCCCCGTGGCCTTTAAAATTTTCTTTCCTTTCCCGGACCGCAACATCATTGGAAGAAAGGCGAGCTTCATTGTCTGCAACCTAGAAAAAAGCGCTAGATATAGTTGTGATGAGACATTGAATGCTATGAGGGTGTAGCTGCCCTCTTCCCGTTCAAGCCCAGGAGGCTCTTTAAAAAGTCCCCATCCAGGACCTCCCATCTGTGAGGAGACTGCATTTGATGCTTTCCTCAAATGAAAATACGTGACTACGCCTGTGGGCACAGTAATTTTATTATCATGATGTTCTGAGCTTGAAGGGTAAAAAACAAATGAGATAAAAGGCATCACAAGACGAAAAATCATCACGTGTCAAGAAGCCTAGCACCGTGCGGAGACTATTCCAATCTAAATACGGTACCTTTCCGGCCCTTCCGTACATTCACGAGGCTTCAGTGGCTGGGCCCCACTGCCTGAGCAGAGGCGGGGCTTTACCTCACCCCTGTAGCCCTCGCTCCCCCGAGCGAGCAACTGGCCAAGGACTCCAAGTGCATTCGTAAACCCTGTGAAAGTCAGGGCTCCTGGCAAGGATAAGTGTATTTCATTGACACCCTGTTTTGCCTTGATCTATTTAGCTTCTATTCCTTTTGACTCCTTGCCTGCTTGATTTTTGCAATCGACTTTTTGCCAGTTGAGTTTATGCGTGTGACTTTAATCATTTTGGTCAACTGTATTTTACTTTTATCAGTTATAACTTTGCCACTTGATTTTAATCGTTTTGGATCTTTGAAATCGGACTTAGTGTCTTTGCACTGTTTGTTTTTATATCTCTTGTAATGGAACCCTGCTGGAGAAAGGAATGTCTGCGGACCCGTCTGGCGTTCGGCAGCTCCGACGCCCGCTCACCTTCCAGCACGGGGTTGGACTGCAGCAGCTGGCTCTTGATGGCGTTGACCTCCTTGGCCCGGCCGGAAACGGCGGCCACGTACTGCATGATGAGCTTGGAAGCCTCGGTCTTGCCGGAGCCACTCTCGCCCGATATGACCACACACTGGTCGCAGTTCTGCTCACGCACCGCCCGGTAGGCCTCCTCGGCCACGGCGTACCTGACGAGAGTCGCACGAGGAAACTTTAGCACGTGACACTTCACGCAACGCAAATTACTGCGGAAAGGAAAAGTTGGGTGAGTATAGTAACAATCCCAGGTGGCAACAACGTTTGCTGACCAATTGCAGCAGCCAATAATGTGTTTCAGCTGAGCAATAATGTAGCTATAGCCGACGCAATGCCATGCATTAGGCCTGCTACACTGCCAACAGTTGCTTTCATAACTCAGCCGTCCGAGGTGCTACGTGTCCTGCCCTGTCCTGAGGAAGCGGCGATGCCTCACGGGGTCTAGGGCAATCTTGCAGTTGGAGCAATCCAGCCACAACGCACAGCCAGACTAGTCTGTGCTCTGCTGGTGACGGGTGCGTGGAGGTACACCGACTAAAATACCAGGCCCTCCAACCCCAGCAGAGAGAGCAGACAGAACAGACCAATGCATATCATACAGCACGAACTTGGCGTATCCCACATGAAGTCTTTAGGATGGGAAAGCTGAGATATGCAACACGTCTACATATCCAGCGGGCAAACAAGACACCCGCTATGGGGGAGGGGGGGGGGGGGGCAGCGCCGCGGCGCCGGCGGCGTCGTCCCCACCGGACGGCTGACCGACGGCCCCAGCCGGAGAGCTCACACGTGCGGTGGCAGCTCAAACCGCGAGCAGGCCCGATACGCGCGGATCACTTCACTGGTGTAGAGCGCCAGCTTCTTGTAGGGGTTGACGGAGATGAGCACCTGCCCGATGTACGTCTGGAACCGGGCGTCACAGCGTCAGCACGCCGGCACGGACACGAGGCAGCCAGCTGGCGCCGTCGGCTTTACCGACGATTCATTCTGCGCTGGCATTCCGCAGCCAAAGTGGCCAGCACGCCGGTCTCCGGACCCGCAGACAGTGGCGGACAGTGTGTTCGAGGCACAGCAGCATGTGGGCTCGCGTTCCATCTAAGACATGACATTTCCCCTGATAAGGAGGGAAAAATTTACGTAGGCGGCTGTCTTGTATTTGAAAGCAGACTGAAAACCCGCACTTTCGGGCTAGTGGGCTTGGGCAAACTAATTTCATTACTCGAACCATTTGACCGGTTTGGTCAGTGTCCAGTCCAGACAACAGGTTGCGTTTAGCAAAACCCAGGCCCATCACCATTCAGGCAAACTCATCGCGGTGCTAATTTAGTTTAAGTACAACTTAGAGAGGGTGTCCCGCCTTCGGTGCATATTTTAAAAAAAAACATGCTTTCGTGAAACCTCATAACCAGTGACGTTTAATAACAGCAATGGGTATTACTTTCGTAGCGGTGAGCAGGGAGTCCAGGTGTGTGGTGGTGGTGGGGGGGGGGGGACGACAACTTGGAAGGGCATTTTGGATACATAATTACGGGTTTACTGTTGAGTATTTTCAAAAAGCGCCGGAGAAGCATGCCCTGCTGCCCCCTTCGCCCTCCCTTTCTGTTCTTACATCCACGGCGTTAGCACTTCGCAGTTCGCACCGAACGCACTTGACCCCATTAAAAATGGAGCCATTCCAAGGACACGCTAGCCAAAAATTAGCGCACATGAGGCCTCTAGATGAGCTCATGAGCACAGTCGGTGAACCGGTTCATGGCGCGGACTCCTTATGGCTGCGGTGCTGCTTAGATAGCTATTATGCTTTATAATATCATATACCATATATCGCTACTATATATGATTACTTAGCCTTTGGTACCTTTCCTGCCATTGCCTTATGAGAACGTGGTTCAGGGCATGTCAGATCGGTAGGGCTGTCATTTCACATAATTTGGGTTGGGGACGCCCCATCCCACAAATTGTTGTATGCGCATGTTACTATTAGGCCTTAGGCCTTACATACACATTGTACGTACAGCGCACACACTTCGCCATTCCGAGCTCATTGCGAATGACTGCATCCAGCACGCCGCTGTCCTGTGCCCAAATTTTGCTGGTTCCGTACTGCACACGGCTCTGCAATTTCGTGAATGGTGCGTTTCAGGGAATATCTCATAGTCCATAAACGTATTATTTTTTTAAAGGACGCGACGTACGTCGTCGCGCTGCTTTTATGGAACACCAACAACATTGACCATATGACCGCTCAGGGGCCATGGCGCAGCTGGGATTCGAACTCAGACCCCCACATGGGAGTCCGACGCGCTAACCACTCGGCCGTTACGCCCCCGTCCGTACACATAAAGTGGATCACATATCGTGCAATACACTTATGACACAGTGGCAGTTACACGCGCTGCAAGTGCGGGACAAAGTAGCATTGGCATTGATCTGCCTCTCGCGGATCCTGCCGGGCTCATGCCGTCCCTGCCAGACTCAAAGCACGCCAAAAGGCTGTGGGCGTATCGTAAGACCGATGAGCCGTTCACTGACGCGTAGGATATGCGCCTTCTCCAGCGCCCAGCGGAGCGGGGAGGTGAGCGCCGCGGGGCGGGAGAGCAGCTCGCCCGGTCCCCAGCGCGGGGGCTCGCCGGCCCGTGCCGCGTCTGGTCAGCACCGCCCGGCCATCAGCCACTCAGCTGCAGCACGCACGCCGTTATTACGCATGAACGTGCAGGATGATGTGAATTATGGAGACGCGTTTGCAAGCGGACTGCCTACGCAAACGGTGCGGATGGTGCGTCAGTCAGTGATGTGAGTCATGCTGGTTTGTACTGAATTACATCACGATGACTTAACTGAATATCGCCGAAAAGCGTGAGCTGAAGCTACAAACAAATGCCAGGTTAACCCATCACGGCTTTCCAGGTAGACAGTGTACAGCGCATCTTTGGACGTTTCCGGTGCACGTGTGTCAGCGCGAAGGTTACCCACGTCGGCTTTGCGCTGAGACTGCTTCAAAGCTGGCCGTGGCCGACTGAAGAATGTGTCTGGCATCCAGGCCTGCACCGGGGGGGGGGGGGGGGGAGGGGCACGCATGCCGCAACTTCGAGCCCATCACTGGCCGGGCGGGCGTGGCCATGGGCCTGGCTGGCTCTTTCACCACGTCAGTATGTCTGTGGGCGCTGTCCGTCAGTGTGTGCCTTGCACCCTTACTCGCCGGGTCAGTGGGTCGGTGTGCCTGAGGGTCTCCCTGTCAGCCGGGTCGCTGTGCCTGGGTCTCTCTGTCAGCCGGATCGGTGTGCCTGAGGGCCTCCCTGTCAGCCGAGTCGGCGTGCCTGAGGGCCTCCCTGTCAGCCGGGTCGGCGCGCCTGTGGTCTTCACTGTCAACCGGGTCGGCGTGCCTGAGGGTCTTCTCTGTCAGCCGGGTCTGCGTGCCTGAGGGCCTCCCTGTCAGCCGGGTCGGCGCGCCTGTGGTCTTCTCTGTCAGCCGGGTCTGCGTGCCTGAGGGCCTCCCTGTCAGCCGGGTCGGCGCGCCTGTGGTCTTCTCTGTCAGCCGGGTCTGCGTGCCTGAGGGCCTCCCTGTCAGCCTGGTCAGCGTGTCTGCAGTCTCCCTGTCAGCCGGCTCGGCGTGTCTGAGGGCCTCCCTGTCAGCCGGGTCAGCGTGTCTGCAGTCTCCCTGTCAGCCGGCTCGGCGTGCCTGTGGGCCTCCTTGTTAGCCGGGCCCGCGTGTCTGTGGGCCGGCCCCAGCTGGCCGGTCGCCAGCCAGCGCCACTGTGCCGCTCCAGCGCTGCCGGCCAGGAAGTGCCGAGCAGCCGTGTAATGGGCAGTGGGGGAAGGAGGGAGGGGGAGGGGGGAGGGCAGCGGTGCCCGGTACGGACGACATTCTATGACTGCGGTCGGGCGGCGGCAGCCGGCGCTGCCACCAGTCAACCATCGACCAGACTGCAGGGCGCGGCAGCCCCGTCTGACCATGAATGAGACGGCAGCGGTGTTCTGAGACACATGAATGAGACACCAGCGCTGGCCGGCAGTATCCTCTAACGACAGCGCTGGGCGGCGACACCCAGCACTGGGACAGCGCACAGCGTGACCCGCAGGGAAGAGTAACACATGGTCTTACCGCAAGTGATGCCCTCCGATACGTCACCAATTGAACAACGGAGGCATCCTTCCCATATCAGGTTTATGGCATACTGCTGACATATTTATGCCATGGAATAAAACGAGCCTGAACTTGACAACTATGAATGACCAAATACCTTTTAAAAACCTAACACATTACGCTGCAGCCCAGGAGTAATGAATTACTTTCTGCTGGATGACCATGGGAACCAGGTGCGTGGCCAGAGCCTTTGCGAAAGTGCGGTGGGGGGGGGGGGGAGGGGGGGAGAAACATAGGGTTAACAAAGAGCTCCCTGATAATAAAAGACCTCCCAAAAAAGGCTGGATATGAACCATGTGTTAATCAGGGTGTGTTTTTCGTTTATATTTTTTTCATTTTCACCTTCCAGCACTGGAAAAAAGTCAGAAGCCACCTCGAGATCAATTCTGCCTGCACTTTAGTAAAACAAAAAACAGAAAATTGTGCGTTCAAGGGCTGCTTGAAATAAACTGCCGGGCTCTACGTTTTGCAATGGTCCAGTGAACTCTTTTTAAGCCGATCGAACTCATAATCTTCGTCAGCATTTTTATCTGGGTTGCACAGATATATCAAGGACCCCGCGAATGTCCATTGAAGATTAAAATGGGTCAACACTGTATTGATATTGCCAAGTCGTGTTTGTCTGGAACTTCCCAACATCCGGTCAGAATCGATTAGTGGTGCAGCTTGTGTAACGCAGTTTTGAGCATGCGCGCTGGACATCTTAGCAACAAAAACCCGCCAGGCGTTTCAGTCCCTAGAGGCCGTGCAGCATCGACCCCGCGGCTCACACTGAGTCGTAGCCAACAGGAGGACGAAAATGATGACACATCTGAAACAGTACATTCGAACGCTTTAGGACATAAAATCATACATTTAAAGAATATTCCGAGCGTGCATTTTTCCTGTGCGAATCCTAGACTAATGATACTAACAGATTGGCCTTTACATCACCGCGAAGTGGTGTCGGAATCTGATCGTGGAACTCAAAGAGTAGAGACAGAATCTCTGCTTTCGTGTTGCTGTAACTTTTTATTTGCCCGTTCTGATCTTTTAACTGTATGAATTAATTTTGAAAGGCATTCAGAAACATTGCTTTGCGATGGTCGTTCTTGCGCACACGGCGCCTGCCGCCTAGCTTACTTGCTGTGGCCAACGGTTCGGTTTTACGAAAACTGCAACCCAGGCCATCGCTCTCCTGCTCCTGGGATTGCGGGTGCGCAGGCTCAAGCCTTTTCATGTAATTTGTTTCAGTAGTCGATTGTGCGAAAGAATGGACGTTCTTAGGCACACTGGGATAGCCATGTGGGTTTTTCAACTAATTTCGGCACACTCTACAATATTGATATCCCTTATCTATTTCCGGGAAAGGGCTCCCTTGAGTAGAACACTGTGGGGCACATTGTTGTTCCCGGCAAAGGGCTGAATGACCATTCCGCCCCACGGCGGAGTGTTTTCCGACTGTCCGACTGCCATTCTGGCGACACGTGGCAGGATCCCCTGGTCTATCCGGAGGCCCTTAGAGGGATACATTATATCCATTGTTCTCCTCCCTGAGGCGGGAGGCCTTCTGACCCGCGCAATTAGCCCCGTATCGACGAGAGAACCCTTATTGACGCAACAACATCGATGACCGCTGTAGGTGGTCCAATAATTGGCACATGGACTCCAGTTCGGCTTAACGAACGCATGCTGTAATTGGGTTGGAGAGCCCACCCTTCGGCACTGGGAAGGTACCTCCGGTACTCCCTGCCGGCACAGAATACTTCAACTGCCTCAA